CCCCCGAAGCCCGGCCCTGCGCGCAGGAGCCCGGGGAGGCAGCGGGCGAGCGCGTTCCCCGCCGGGACCGGCACCGGGACCCGGCCGCGCTGGAGGCGTGCCGCGCGGGCTCCGCCGCCCCGGAGGCTGCTGCCCGGTTCGGATCTGGTTCGCGTGGCTCCGCTTTCAGACTTTGGCGAGGGAGCAGCAGAGACGCGCGGACGGAGCCGGGTTGGAGTTGGGCGTTTTCTCTGCGTGAGCTTTTGGTGGTTTCCCTCCCGGTCTCTTGACGATCAAGCGTCGGGAGCCCTGGACCCAAACCATGAACTCGGGGCTGACAGCACCGCCGAACCCCTTGCGACCAGGTAATGCAGCTCGGGGGCCTCGGCTCGTCGCCGGCGGTCGGAGGGAGGCGGCCTGGTCGGGGTCTTTTGTTGCGGCGGCCGGGCCCGCGGGCTGGGGCGGCCGGGCGGACTGACGGCCCTGGCGACCGAGCCCCTCCGCCCTCACTCCAGGCCCCCACCCCGCCCCGTCGCCCGTTTTGGACTTTCCTTGCTGTGCCGCCGGGGCTCGGCCGGGAGCGGCGGCGCGGGGCCGGAAGGGCCGGGGGCCGCGGCCGAGCCCCCCGCGGGGAGGGGCCCGGGCTCCCCCGACCCGGCCCGGCGCCCCCGGCGCTGCCCATTAGGGGCTTGGATTTCCGAGCCAGGTAGTGCGTGGCCCGCGCCTGCACGCGGAGCCCGGGGAAGCGAAAGGACCGTCGGGCTCACCCTCTGGTCGGCCGTGGGTGAAGGAACTCGCGCTCAAGTTTCCGAGAGGTTTCCCTTCGCTCGTTCGAAAGTCCCTCTCCCTGCGGATGTGGGTGCGGGGGGGGGGCGGCCCGGGCCCCGAGTCCGGAGGGGAGCCCGATCCTCCGGGTCCGCCCCCCCCAGCGGTGCACCGAAGGCTTTTATTCGTTTTCTCATTGTCCTTCCCTCTTCCGATCTGGTTGAGTCAACTTTTCCTTAAAACCAACTACGGCTTCTAGTAATTTTTCACTATGAAGAAAAAAAAATCCCCCCCTTTCTCCTGCATAATAAACCCCAAAGAGACCTCGGTTTTTCTGTTCGGGGGTTCAGCCTCTTTGTACCCTTAACCCCCCCCAAAACCGAGCGAGGGAGAAAGGAACGAAATGGCGAGTGAAACCTTGAAGTCCATGGCGTGGAAAGGTACCCGTAGTTGGAGAGAAGGAAGACTCCACTGGCCTGCTGGTCGCGGCGGCTCTAGGTGCTTAGTGGTTCTGATTTTAAAAAGAAAGAACGAAAAAAAGAGAAAAACAGGCCGGGAAAATGATCGTGGTAATGGAGGGAAATGCAGACATTTCTAAAAGTGAGGAAAATGAAAACGTCCCCACGAGTAAGACGCAAGGAGCCGCAATGATTTGTACGAATGTTTTTCGAGTGTTAAGTGGAAGGGAAGTTCGCTGAAGAAAGACGAAGGATATTCCTGTGCTTCTCACTTAAGACTTTGGCTCAGAAGCTGTTTTTTTCTGACTTTGTAGAACGCAGGTCCGCCACGGTTCTAACTGCCTGCGTGGGAGGAAGAGGGATCCAGAATCCTTTTGTGATTACCGAGAGTCCCGTTGCAATCATCATCTTTTGGCTGGTTTTCCACGGAGGCCTTTTTGAGACACCTCTTTGCCCAGTTAGGAGAGGCATCATGTGGAGCTTCCTGACATGTATCAGGGATTTAAAGGCCTTTATTAGATTGCACACTCTCCTAAGCCTTTCTGAATAACATATCAGGCTTATTTCCTTAATAACTTACTGGTTGGTATCACAATAGCCATGGCCTCAAGTTTGGTTCAGACCAGAGGATCACAGAGTGGTTTGCATAGTGCAGTGGAGCTTACAAAAGGTGCAGATCTGAACCGAAGGAGAACCCAGGAGGGTCTGGACTGAAGCCCACAGGGCCTGCTCCCTGCATGAGTCCTTTTGGCTGGAACACCTAGTGCAAAAGAAGACTCACTCTTTGGGGGCCCAGTTAGATTCATTTTAATATGTAACCCCAAATCTTGCAAGGGTTTTTTCAGTTTGTTAAAACAATTTGATAAACGGGGTTTTGTCTTTTGAAATATCAGCTTCTGTTTATTTTTTAAGCCACGAGTGTAACATCAAGAGAATTCCAAGCCAGCTTAAGAGACACTTTTTTTTGAAGGATAGGGAAATGAAATACTCCCATGGCTAAGTTTTTACCTCGGAAACTCTCACATGCCTAGAAATCTCTTATTTCAGTACCACAACACCATTCATGTAATTTTCACCTTTATAACTCAGTATTCCTCATCTATTTGATGTGTAAGTTGTTTCTCCCTCCCCCATGCAATACTTTTTTGGGCAGTTCATTTTTATATGAACCTACCATAATATTTAGTTTTAAGATGTCAGGATGGTTCTGGGTATATATTTTATTCCTGCAAAGGAGAAAAAGAAATCTCCCTAGGATTTATTTTAAACTGTATATGTATAAGTATACACATTTGAGTATTTATTTTATGCATTAGTTTTTCCCCTTTGATCTCCTAAATCTTTTGAACCACCCCATAGAAGAAAGATCAGAATTAAAATAAAAGGAAACATAGCCAGAGTAAGGATATTTTATGTCTTTTTATATCACTTGCATTGAGAACTAGAATATGTCCTCCAGATATACATAGGAATATTTCATCTTTCCCAATGTAACATTGAAAGGACTAAACAGAATATCTTCTTTGTCCCCAAAAGGCAGTGAGTCAAAATATACTATTCTTCAGACTTCCCCCTCCCCCTACTTCCTATATTTCTTTCTTCCATATTGATTCAGCATTCTATGCCTCGCTTTGTCAGAATATACATCTCTATGTATAAAGTGTAAAAGACAAGTGATTTCTCACAAGGGTTACATAGAAAAACAGCACACATATAGCTAGACCATCATAACTTTAAATGAAGATACGTCCTCAAATTACTGTATATAGTGAGGTTGCTAAATTTTTAATTTTTCAGTCTTAGAAATATTCAGTGCTTCTGAAACATAGCATTTTCACTAAACTGACTTAATGTTTGTTTTCCAGAACATTAGTGTATAATTTAAATTGGCTTTAGTCTTGCTATTTAAACAGGCTTATTTCACTTTCCTTGAGCCACTGTAATAATTAGCAGGCATGATCACTAGAAAATGAAAAGGAAATAATGCTGGTGGCTGGGTTTTGGGCAGATCAGCTTGCATCTATTTGAACACCAAGGTCATCCTGGTTATTGTAAGAAACGGATTTTTAGGGTCACCAGATGAATCTTGTAAAAAATTAATATCTGAGAGTATTGTTTGACACCTCAGGGAGGAAAAGCTTAGCAGTACATCATAGGCATTTCTGATTTGTGGAAGAAAATTGAAAAATAAGCATGTCTGCAAATACCATACAAAAAAATACTATTTCCAAAATACTGATCTGTCAGTGAAATAGGAAAATAATTATGAGAATGAGCTGAATTGCTTTGTGTATCATCTGCAGAATATGTTTTGCACAGATAATATGTCTAATAAGGACACATATTTAAAATCAGATTTTTTTTCCTCCAGCAAATAGCTGCACTGCAGGTCTCTCTCAAGCAGTCAACTAGCACCACCTTATGGATGATTTGGAAAATTGACTGCTTTCCTAAAATGTAGTAAACTGGCTCAAAATAATAGTAATCATGATGGGGCTGGCAATATCAATGACAATCATAACATTTTTTCCTCCTCCTCTTTTTCAGGCATCAGATGCCAGCTCTGAAAAACTCTTCAACACTGTTATTGTAAACAAAGGTAAGACTCCTTAATTCTTCTAAGTAGTGCTTTTTAACAGTGTTAGTCTTATTGTCATTGCCTAGGAAGAAACAACAACCAAAAAAATGGTCGTTTTCTTTTCATTCTGGAGCTACTGTTCATATTCTCTGCTTTTGCATGAGACAGACTCGGAATGCTTTTGTGACACATTTAAAAAGTTTATTTTAAAAGGTTACACCAAATCCTTATTTAAATTAATTTGACTGAGAAATCACTAATTATTATGTGACTTTAATTTAATGTGAGAAACTTTAATAGAGAAGAGTGATTCCCCAAATGCCTTACCTTGATTGTTGCTTACCAACTACCTGGCAGTGGGAGAAGTGTAAGTAGTCAGTGTGTACCGCAGACTGTAATAACAAGTGTGTGTTTAGTATTCACTGTATTACAGCCATAAACCAAGCTGAACTCTGCTATGGGCTTTATGTAAAGTTAACAAATGAGCAAGAGGGCAGAATTTAAATATGCACCATGCCATTAATTTCTTCCAGACCTCCATGTAGAGTAGGAGAACCTAATGATATAGCAGTACATTAAGGGAAAACTTACCCTAAATCATTGCCAATAGGTTTCTTGGCAGTTTTCATTTGTAGCAGTATTGTTAGAAATAATGAAATTTGGGGAATCTCTAATTACTGGCTTTGAAAGGTGTATAATTTGAAAGGTCTAAATTATATAAACTAATCTTTCCCTTTCCACTGCAGAACCTGATTTAGGGCCTTGCAGGATAATTGCTAAATAAAGAAGATATGCTTCCCGCCATGATCTTTTTCTGTGTTACCTCCAGGATACTTGGTAGCACTTGAACTAACTTGGGTCCTCATAATGTGAAATGCGGCTCCATTTCAGCACCCTGTAGTTGCCTTGGCTAGCATTTTTGCTAGCTAGTTAGTAAAAGGGCTGTTATTTTGAGCTCCCAGATTATTTTAGAATGTGAACTAACTGCAATTTTAAATGGTACATAATGTTTAGAGTTCCCTAGAGGTGTATATGTTTATGTGATTGCTGTTACTCCCGGAATTACTATCATATTGAATTTTATCTTGTTTTATTGCATCATAGAGTTCCAGTTTTATATTTCATCATATTTTTTGATGGACTGAAAGTTTATATAAATTTGTTATCCGTAATGCTAAAAGCCTAATAAAAGAAGATATGTGCAGTTCATAGCATACAGTGCTTGTGTGTAAAAATGCATAATTGTTTACTGCTCACTGTGATGATGGGAGAGGGTTGGTAGACAGTGGAGTGAACATCTGTGCGAGAAAGAAGGCTAGCAGGAAGGGAGGCTGAGGCGGGACAGGTCTCCAAAAGCGGGGCTTCTGTGCCTTGGTGACCCTCAGGACCTCCAGCCACATGTGACTGTGTCTTGTTTTGCTCATTTGCTCTAAAATGGCTTTGGAGTGTTCTCCAGATCTGGGATGAGCCTGGAAATGGGCACTGGCTCTGGGACCTGCCTTGGGCCTCCCTTGCCCTGCAGCCTCTTCAGAGTGGATGTAGAGTGATTGAAGAGGAGCCCAGCCTTCCCCTCCGCCTCTCCCTGCTTGCCTCTCCCCACTCTCCTGTTTCCAATCAAACGTTTCCCACATTCTTATTTTTGTTTACTTACAGAGTGTGATTTGTGGCATCTATTTGGTTGTGAATAGTCATCCCCCTGACAGGGTGCCTTTCTTCTGAGCTGCTTTTCTGGGGGTGATTTAGTTGCCTTGAAAGGATTATGGTTTCTTTGTGTACACTAAAATCAACATAGGCTTTTTCTGAGCTTTGCTTGGGAAACCATACACAAATAAGCATTTTAGTTGATGGCAGATTATTCCTTTGCCCCTTATTTCCATCAAAATGGCCTTTCTTTTCTCCTCCAGAGTTTCCCCTTAATGCCTTATGCTAATTCCTGGTGGTAACATGAATGACAAGAGGCAGAATCAGTGCAAATCCAGGTGCTGCAAAGTAGACTGCCTGGTACTCAGTCCCCCTCCCAAAAGAGATTAAGAGGGGTGGGAGGGGAAAGCATCAGGATAGTTTTGTTAAGGGGATTAGTATTCAAACTGTTAAATATCAGGAAAACAACTTCAAAAAAGGACTCATTGTGCAGCAATAATGTCAATAATTGCTTCAAGACAGGTGCAGAGAGTCTCTTATATGCTTGTGGCTTTGGGTCTGTTTTCACACTGGGTAGTGGCAGTGTTTACTGGATGGATGGTTGACAAGGCCTTCAAGGAACTGTCAGCTTCGCACACATCAAGTTCAAGTGCTCCTGCAAAGCAGCCTGCCTGCCTGAAAGTCAGGTCTCCCATCTTTGTCCAGGGTCTTTAGCCAAGAGCAATAAAGGGCATGGCAAGAAAAGGCAAATTTACACCAGGTAACAAACACTGCTGGGAAATTCTTCAAAGCCTCAGCTTATTGAACAGTCTAACAAGAGTGTGAGGAAGCTGGCACGCATATCCTTCCACCTCCAGATGTTTAAAGCTACATATCACCTCTCCCTCTCAGGAGTCTGCCAAGTATTCTGGCCTCAGAGAAGCGTGGCTTTAAGCTGCTGGTGAGATTATGCTGCTGAGCCTGGTGGTGGCAGATTCGGTCCATAAAATTTCACCATGGGAGGGCAGTGCTAATCTCACAGGCTGATTGTGGTGAGGGCTTGAGGTGGTGGCTTTGATGTTGGTCTGCACAGTGTGGCCATGGAGCTGCAGGCTGCAGCAGCAGGGGCCATGGCTCAAGTCTCATCAGTCTGCTCATGAGCTTCAACAAGTCATTTAGCCTCTTTAGGTCAGAATGTTCAATCGTAACAAAACTTAGTCCTGGGCCAACTTCGCTGGTGGGGATAAAACAATTACTTGCCAAAGGCCCAGGATTGAAGCAGAGTGGGTACAATGAATATGTTTGCTATAATTTACCTGTCAACTTTATTTCAACTTTCCCTGTACTGTAAAGTCCATCTGATTTAATGGAGAACTAGTAAGACCATCCTGTTTAGGTGTTCTGAAATGTTGCTTTCTTCTGGTGCCTTTTATTTCTTAGTTTAAAATAACGGTGATTAAACAGCGTGTGCTTGCACACAATTGGGCACATCCCATGTCCAGTGAGAACTGGGTATTTCCAGAGACATGGAGTTGAGCCTCCAAATTGCAAGGATTAGTACTGTAGACATAAAAAAATAGTTGAACTTTAATCAAGGTCATGATTGCCTTATTTAATCTTTATGTGTTTAAATGTTTACAGGATGTTCATGTGAGTTTTATGAATCCTTCTGTCTTTGTGACTCAACCATCTGCCAAAGAAAAAATTAATTTTCCCACTGAGACAGAAGCAGAGAGAGAGAAAAAGATGACTGACTTATTGTCACTGTTGAGTTGGATATACTGCTGTAAGAGCAACAGGGCCTGTACCCCCAATTCTGGAGTATTTCTCTTTAAAAGGAACTTTCTAGTCAGTTTAGTGTGGCCAGCGTTCATTGCCAAGTCTTAGCTTCTCTAGATCCCCTTGGCCATCTTCAACATGTACTTCAACATGTAGACAGAAGTGTAGAAAAACGAGCGTTGCTTTGCTGTGCACAAACATCCTTCCAAGATAATTAATCTGTGCCCAAGCTCTTGGACTGCTCCAGAGCAGAGCTACTTGTGGAGAAAGGAAAAGGGAAGGCCCATGTGAAGAACAATGGTCAGGTGTTAGTACCAGCCTTGATTTTGAGTCCATAGTCAAGCCTAGGGGGGGAGAAATGCCTGGAATGTTGCCCCTTCTTTCCTCAGAGCCCTGTTAGAATTTATCCTGCAACCAAGGCAGACTTCAGATAGAAGATACAAGTGGCCAAGAGGTATCTTTTCCCGGGCGGCTGACTTTCCCACCCCTCTTGCTTCACCTTTGTCTCACATTGCAGAGTTGGACCCCCCTGGGCTGGTAGAGAACTGTGTCTACCTAATGGGCATCTCTGAGGGACTGGGCTGAGATTCCTGCTCCCTCCTGCTGTCAACACCCAGTGTCTCCTAAAATGGGAAGGAGGACCCCCCCCCACAGGACCCCACTTCACCCCCATCAGATCAGCCCTGGGGAATCCTAGTGGACACCTGGTCACCATGATGAGCACCTCATGGAATGCTCCCAGCCAGCTGGAGCTCACTCACATGCCTACTTCTGGAACACACTTGGCCTCTTCTCGCAGTTGATTTTGTTCTGAGGATTTCCAGTGGGAAGCAGATGAGGTTGGAGCCTATGGGTCAGTGGATCCTTTGCGTGCTGTGGTTTTGTCAGATTTGTAGGAAGAGGACCTGACTAAAAATTGCCAGAGATCTGAGGAGGGGAGGGGAGAAACAGGATATGTAAAGGTATTGCTGGCTTAGTAACCAGATACCACATAAATTCTCTACTGGCAATAGTATCACCACTTTTGTTAGATTTAGACATGAGGGACTCCCTTGGTTTGGGAACAGAAAAGGTAAGAGTTATTTGTGCATTACCAAGAACACAATTGGATTTTTGAGAAGTGTTTCCCCTAAAATAATTCCATGCAAGGAAATAATGTAGCTGACTGTGGGATAGCTTTCTTTAAAAAAAAAAAATAATAATAATAATAAATAAATAAATAAATACTGGTTTACACTTTAAAATCCCTTTAAAATGAACATATGGGGCCTGGAATTTAGCTCAGTGGTGTCGCCGCCTGCCTCACAAGCGCAAGGACCCGAGTTTGATCCCTGGTACCAAAAAAATAAATAAAAATAAAATGAACATATGGAGATCATTTTACCACCGTTCTTTGTAGCTTTTTGGGTTTAGTAAGGAGGACGTGATGTGAAGCACGTTCCCGATATGACAAGAGTAAACTGAGCCACTCTCAGCCTCTGGAGATTAGTAGTGATTTTGTCATACTGTAAATCTCAGATAAGGGAAAATTGGAGTATTCTGTAGTTTTTTCTCTCTGGACTTTTTTGGGGGGTACTATTTCAGAGCATCTTCTTGGATATTTAAGAGAGAGCTGTCTGGTG